TTCACCTGTTCTAATAGCATGTACCCTCTCAGTGGGCCAAAGGGGCTCTTCTGACTTTTCAAAGACAGGAGTTTTCTGCTGTGGGTCTCTGGAAAATGATAACCTACAATAAATGCATTTCCAATGACTTTACATTGGAGTGAGATGGTAAATGTGTAGGTATTTGGGGATTGGTTCTACTTGAAAATTTTTTGGAGGAGTAACCTCCAAAGTTTAAAAAAGTACTTTTGACCAAGGTTGTGTTACACGGCCACCATCATTCTTTAAAAACTATACTCAAACAGACTGTGCTTCTTTATCATAAACCTCATCTCGAAGTGGTATCCCAAGTAGTTTGGGTACAATGGTAATTAAGCAATAAATTATTGAATTAAAAAAAATGTTAGAAACAAATGAATGGCCTAGGAGATTGTGTTTATGGATTAAAAAAGAAAGGAAGGGTATCTTCATTGTGATTTTGATTCTTCAGTCACAAAAGCACTTTGACATGGATATTTCTGGCAGCGGTCAATGGTAAACTCACCATGTCAGACACTGAGCTCTGTGCCTCAGGGACATACCCTCCTAGGTACCGCGGGCTCCACCCTGCAGAAGAATAAATCTAGAATCAAAGCATCTAGTTCAAGGTCACCAAATTCAAGGACAGCCTGGACCAAATATGTTTAGCACTCACTCCGTGACCACCTCATCTTCAGTTTCTCCACGCATACCCAATTTCCAGTGGGGTTAATGCATACATCATCCATTCATGAGAAACCAAGCTGACTTTTCTCAGAAGTGAGTTCATATAATTACTAAAATCACCTTCATAGTAAATCTCATGTGAAAACAAGGAGGCAGGGTTATGACAATAAGCCCTACTCATACAGTTTAAAACCACATCCATCTCCACAAGATCAAAGATGGAATTTAGTTGACCATGTAGGCCATTTTTACAGTTTATCCAGTTATGCCTGGGAAACCTTGGGTGTGCCCCTAAACTGCCCAGTCAGCTTCAGTTCCTACGACGCCTCTCTCGGGTTGTTCCACACCTCTAATGGGGATCCATCACTTGGCCACCGCTTCTAGAGGCCACCACAAAAATGCTGAAATCTGGTGAAGGTCCTGTGTCTCATGGCTCCCCAAACTGTTGGCCCACTTTCTTTCAGCACCCGTGGTGCTGCCTTCAACACATGATCAGGGAAAATGGTCGTCTCTCCCATACAGTATCACAACTTGTTATTTGGGAAACACAGGGTCCTTGATGTTAAGGGTCCTTCCATTTCTGCCTGCAGCTGCCTCTTACCGCTGGTCTAGACCCAAGTCTTTGAAGTCTGACAGGTGGAGGGTGCAACCTTCTTCACCCTCTTTTCCCTAGGGCACGTACTCCTCCCTCAGGAAAAACAAAACAAAACAAAACAAAAATAAAAACCTCAAGCAATTTGATTCCTCAAGGCCAGCTCATGCATTTATCGGTTTACTCCTGCTAAGTAAGTCACAACTTAAGCTGGAGAGAAGCATCTGACCTCACCCTCACCACCCATGGGTGTCATCTACTTTCTCCCCGGTTTTCACCATCTGAAAGGTGGTGGTGGTGTTTTTTTGTTTGTTTGTTTGTTTACAGTGATTTCTTTTTCATAGAATTTACTTCCAGGGCTTAATCCATATACTTCCAATTCTGGGCTGACTACTTTGAAAGTCAGTTTCCCAGATGATGGATGGGTCTAGTTAGAATCTTAATTGGGTACTTGTTCAATATAAAATGGGTTTCGATTTCATTTTCTGTTTTGTGAAACATTTAAAGCCTAAAGATAAAAGCTGTTCACCATCACCCTATAAAGCCTGGTCTCAGGAGTGAGCTAGATCTAATGGCCACAGGTATCGGCATGCTTGTCTTGCCTCTCCATACCCGTTGACACTTGGCTTGCTGGGACACTTGATGGGGCCATCTAGCATTTGCTGTCCGCTCCTCTTTCAAGGAGTCACAGGGGCATACTACTTACTAGGCAGTGTCAAGTTCAGAAAAAAACTCTCGAGTCCTCTGCCCAGAGTGCTTTTGTAAAGTGGCTAAATGAATGATTGATGCAACCCAATTATCTAGAATTTTCTATATGATTCAAATCCTATTATCCCAAGCCCAAAAGAAGGGGCTATATTTGCTTGTTCCATGTTTTCAATCTGAGGCCATTAGTAGTAACTTCATAGCAAGTTGGGCGGGTCCACGATCTTATGAAGACTAGTGAAAACTCACTACTCTGAGAACACAAGGGTTAGTTGATTTCAGAATTGTGAAACTCCATCATACTTGGAATACTAAAAGCTACTAAATATATCACTGCAATACCATCTCAAACCATTTCATCTGGTTAGCAAACTGATCGTGTTTAGGATATGATTACTCGGATGGAAAATTAGTTTTATCTTTAAAAATATCCTATTTAATAACAATTTTACTTCGAGTCTTTGAGGAATAAATAAATTGACCATGAAACACAAACATTTGTTGTTGAGATCAATGGCAGGAAGCCTCCCTGGTTCCATTTAGAAGGGTTTGATGACTGTCTTCAAAGTGCTTGGAAGCCCTAGCACAATAAGCACTTTGAAGGGCAATGCTTTGTCATCCCCCTGCCTTAGGCCTGCAGTTTCTGGCACAGATTAGCAGCGTTTGTCTTTTTTTTTTTTTTTTCTTTCTTTCTTTCACAATGGATGAGTTCCCCCATAATGACTGCCTTTATCCCATGTGAGTAGCAAGCTTTTCAAAACAACTTAGGCTGTGGTGCTTGACTGTGTTGGGACAACTTCATTAATGAGAGGCGTATATATTTGATGGGATCTTTGTTGCCACATTATAGCATTTGTCTCAGAACACTGTGTCCCCACATAACAATGATGCAGGCCCCGCTACCACCACGACAGTAGGAATTACAGCAAGCACATTAACTTCTGCCCTGGGTGGCTTTTTTTTTTTCTCCGTGTTCTTTTCTGTCACCGACCGGACCTTCTCTCAGTACTTCCTCTGACTCCTTCCTGAACAGTTTTTAAAAAGGAAGATCCCTCCTCGTTTTTATTCAGGCAGTTGGCCTAATAGTTCTTGAAACCAGTTTTGGATTTCAACGGCCAAGTTTTCTGTGAGAAAGGGACTTCTCGGGTGTCCCCCTAGTGACTTGAGGTCCTGCTGGACCCCTAGGATTTCAGGCTTTTCTCAAAGTGCACACAGGCAAGTGGGGCAATTGTCGATTTCCAAAAAGTCCCGAAACAGCTCTGTGGTTTTTTTTTTTTTTTTTTTTCCGCTTGTGGATAAACAATTTGCCTCCCTTTTTTTCTTACTGTTAATTACATGACAATTAAAGAAAGCCTCAAAGGGTGTAATGGAGAATTTCTAAAGAATCCTGCCTTTTCATGGACCAAAGAGAAGACTTAACATTGGATCAATGAAGAAACAAGAGAACTCTGTCAAAGGAGCTGACTCCATATTTGATGCAAAAAGGAATTAATGCGGCTCTCTGTTCCCTTTCTTTTGGATACCTCCTCAGACAACTGTTTTCTGAGAAAGCATCTAACCTCTATAGGAGATGGATTTAGATGTTTCTTTTAAACGATGATACATTCTCTCTCTTTCTGTGCCTCATATATATGTATCTTCATCACATAGGTTAGATGTGTAATATATACATACTTATATATTTTTCTATACCTGACTTTTGCTTTCTTTCAGTCATTTTTGCCTTAATTTATAATAACATCTGTATAAATTTCCTAATAACGTTTGTAATTCGCTGGGGTTTTTACTTAGTTACTAACATGCAATCATTATTAAACCTGGCGGGAATTGAAGGTTAATGCACTCGCTCGTGTCTGCACGTGTGTGCGGACATACACGCAAATATCACTGGGCCCATAAAGTAAACAGGTCAAAGGTTTCATCCAGCAAAATAAAAGAATAGAAAAGTAAGACATATTTGTAAATATAAAGCAAAACTGTAACAACTCTTATTTTTTAATTTTCAGGAAATGTAACTTTCCTACCTAAGACAAATAAAAAGGGTTTCATATGAATTTACATGAACTTGGCATTTTACTTGGAGATAAGTAAACTTTCTGGTGGGTATAAAGTGTCTGTGGTAAGAAGTTAGAAGTGTCTTCAACACTCAACCCCCACCCTACCCCCTCCTTTTTTTTCCCTCAAGACATAAGGAATCTAACACCAAAATTGGAGTATGGAGCAGCAAAATAATAATAATAATAAACTTTAAACTTGAATATAGACCTGGCTTGGAATCTTCGTTCCAATTAATGTTACTTGATGCCTCTGATTCATCTGTAAAAGGGAAAACATCTAGCAGGTGGTCACATGGGGACTTGCTTGGTTCACATGGGCATTTACAAGTGTTACTGCCTCCATACAAGCCCTTAGATGGACACAGATACTACAGCAAAACCTATAGAAAGAAAGATCGTCAGTTCATCCTTGACTAGACTTCTGTGAGGCCCTATTGGTCCTGTTGGTCCCTGTTCTTTTCTTTCCTAAGTTATATCTTTTTTAGCCCTAGTTGCTCCCTGCAATTCCAGTTTTCTAGCCAGAAGGGAAAGGAGGAAGAAAGGAGGAAGAAGGGGGGAGGGACAGAAGGAGAGAAGAAGGAGAGAAGGAGAGAGGGAAGAAGGGAAGGAGGGAGGGAATGAGAGAAGAAGGGAGGGAAGAAAGGAATATTACTTTATTTCATGTTATTCGCCACTACAGTTTGAGAAATGGGAAATTAACAAAATGAATAAAATACATCTATTGCTGGTCCAAGCATCTGCAGCCTATTACAAAGCCTTGCCACAGCAATATTTATTCTTTTCCTCTCTGAGTTCTCTCGTTCCAGCTTTTGTCCTCTCTCTCCCATTCAGTCTGTATTCTCATGCTCATCCCGATAATTACAGGAGAAACGAAATTATCACCCAGCAAAGGGTGTAGCAATATGTGTGCAAAGTTGATCTTGGAAAACCAGTAAGACATAAAATAAAAATAAAAATAAAAAATAAATCCCAAACAGGTTTTTTATTTAACATAAGGCCAAAGAAGCTATCAGGCGTTGCTGAATACTGTCCGCTAACTGTACAAAATATTGACTGCATGCCTCGCAAACACCAAAATATCCGCTGGAATGCCATAGAAATAAATAACTTCTGCTATAAACACATGAAAACATATCAAACTGTTATCTCTTTAAACATATTGTAAATAAAAAAATTACCAGTACTTCTACACAATAAATATTAAGAAACCATTGACATAGTTGAAATGCACTCATATAAATTAACAACTTTAATTACATTAGCCAAACAGACGTCGGTTAAAGAACTGCATGTAGTATGCCAAAAAAAAATAATAATAATAAAAATAAAAAAATAAAAACAAACAAACAAACAACATCAACCACAGAACATAAAAAGTTTTAAAACAAAACAGACTTCAGATTATCTTGGCTTTCATAATTATATTTTTCTTTTAAAGAAAAATATCAACCCATTGTCAATGCACTGTTTTTCAAAGCATTTAAATAGAGGGTAAAACCCATTGGAAATTAATACAGAAGAAATGATTCACTTTATGCATAAAAAATAAATAATGTAGCTGAGACATGTGGTTTGCTTCTGCTCTTGAAGATGTGAACAGCTTCTAAGCATTCATTTTCTCTGACCCATACAACAGCTTCTCAGTGATAAAGGGTTTAATTTAAACACACACAATGTCCACCCCCAAACCTTCTGCCCACATCTACAAGTTCCAATTTATTGTGTAGGGTTTCAGGGTGACTAAGTTCTTCTCTACATTGAAAGGGAAGTTGCCAAAAGGCCCCCAGGAAATCATTTTTTTCAAGTGAACATAATAATTTGAATCTAAACTTAATACAACTGAGGCATTTGTGTTCTCTGTTTTTTAAAGTTACTTCTTGAGGTCCAATCCCATGGGGGGTGAAAAACAAAATTCACTTGCTCTTCCTTAGAGGAGAATGCAGGCATTCTCCTTGAAAACAAAGTGTGGAATCAATCTTAAATATCTATGAAATTGTTTGGTCTTTAGGGACAAGAAAATCCCAACTCAGTGTGCTGGAATTTGCCATGCTTTTTTTGAAAAAAAAATAAAAAGAAAGAAGGAAGGAAAGGAAGAAAGAAAGAGAAAGAAAAAAGAAAGGAAGGAAGGAAGAAAGAAAGAAAGAAAGAAAGAAAGAAAGAAAGAAAGAAAGAAAGAAAGAAAGAAAGAAAGAGAAAAAAAAGAAAGAAAGAAAAAAAAAAGAAAGAATCCAAACTACCAAATATTTATCATTCTTAAAAAATACTTGGGGTCAAATACTTTTCAGAGCTTTTAAGATTGGTATGAGTAGGTTTTTAAGAGCCTAGAGATCAGCCCTAGAGAAAGAGTAGAGAGATGCTAAGATCAGATAGAGCCACCCTGTTTTAAGGAAAACCTACTGTGAGGAACCCAATATGGTAGAATTTAAAAGCTTTTTCTTTTGGCCTCGTGCTGCTACATGAAAAGTGTGGTTGTTTACAAACCAGCATATCTTCCAAGATTATTAAAGATAGCAGCAATTTATAATTCTAGTTCAAGGCCACATAAATTTAATGAAATAATGTCAAAGTTTGGGGATGTTTGACAACCTAATCATTTAATTTCAATTAACACATCCCATTAAAATATTATCATATGGAATTTCATTTTGCTCCACTTCCAATCACTATGGCCACCAATCAAACTCCTTCTTATCCCCACTGTGTCGAGCACTCTTTTAAACAAGATGGCACACACACTTGAGATGAATGGGAGCCACAAACAGGTATCAGCTGTCTTTCGAGCATCCTGCTTTTCCCACTGCCCTGGCCATCTCTGCTAGTGCACTGCGAACTAGGACTTGGGTCCCCACACTATTTCCATGGGTTCCATTATTAGCGCCACTACCAAATAAGCAGCAGTCCAAAAGGCCCTTTAAGTTTTTCATGGAAATTTCTAAAGTTGAACATCGCCATCCCCCTCTCCTTGAAACTTCCCTCACCATGCCCACCTTCCCCACCTGAATGATTTCCTGGTCAATGGTTAAGAGTGAGGAAGCAAGTACTAACTTTGCACGCTCTCCCTCTTACACGTAGAGTCCACTCTCATGGAGTACATGTTGTATTTCTGCATAAGAAAGGGTGGACCTCAAGATGTAGTAAGTATATCTACCCAGTAACAACATTAAAATAATTTGCCTACATACAGCCTAGTGTTATAGTACACCAATTTAGGATATATATTTCAAGAAGAGCTAAGCCACCTTTAGTAATGTTTGGTTTCTCACTATTTTATTTTTTACAACTAATTTTTTTAAAAAAATCTATGAATTGACATAGGGCTGAAAGCTTCAGTATTTTACAAAATACTAATGAATGCAATTTTTCCAAATTATTAGTATTTTTTTCAATTTTTGCAAACCTCAAACAAGTCAGTAAAAATAAGGCTCTGTATTTTTAAAAGCATATAAATGAATAACTTATTAGCTATTCTAGGCAAGCTAAATATTGTGGAATAAATTAGTAGAAATTTAGCTTTAAGCATGTACTTTGATATTTATAAAACAAAGTGTTTTTTTTTTTTTCTTTTTTGCATCTGAGTCAATACATACAAACTTATATATCAAGAGTTTTGGCTGTAAATTAAAATATTAGGGATTTTTGTCACTGATGCCTCCCTGCAGTTCTCTTTCTTCTTCTCAATCTCTTAAGACCTTCCCCCCAAGTTATTTATCTTTTAATTAGTGACAACAACATTATTTAGCCCAGCAAGTCATAGTTCTCAGAATTAGGCCTTAATCATCAAAAAAAAAGTACCCAACTCTTATTTTGGACTAAAGATGAATTTTTTGTTTCTTTCCGAAAAAGCTTTCCGATTTAAGATTGATTCCAATAGATAATAAATATAAGTCACAAAACACACAAAAAAATCAGCCTAGAACCTTGAAGAACATGAGTTTCCTGTTTTCCCTGCAGGGAATACCTGGTGGGATAGAGGTGGGGGGGGGGGTGGCGAGAAAGAGGAGGGAGCTGGGTCCCTGCACAATGAAAGAGGGTCTTGCTGAATAGTCACTGGAGTTTCCAGGCTTCTTCCCATCCACATTTTTTGAAATGTGCCCACCTAGTTCGGAGGAAAAGCAAAAACTATAGCCTATCCTTCTTAAAAATACTGTGTTTTGCACACAAACATTCATTGCTTTAAGAACATTACAAAATGACAGCCTGACGTGCTTAAAATGTGCATGGGCATGATGCGATCCGTGTATATATTCACACAGGTATGCGTATGCACAGGCCACGTACATATACACAGACAAGCATGTAGTGTTCTGGGATAACTAACAGTGCACAGCTACTGTACTTCCAGTATGAAATGTCCCGCTTCGTGGATGTCAAAGGAGTCAAAAACCGAACTTCTCAGGTCCTTTCCGCCTGAACACAATCCGCCCTCCTCCGCCTTGAATCCCAACCCCTGACTCACTGATGGTGAATGATACCAACCACAGACAGACTGTTTTAAAGGCTCACACAAATGTCTTTGGTGTATGTGTCTATTTTTTAAGGTACAAAATAATAATAATAATTATAATTATAATAATAAAAATAGCTATTTTGTGTGCTTAGCAGTTCTCTTATAGCTCACATTAAGTGCAGCTCTTAAACCCCCCCCACCCCCACCCAAAGAAAATACTTGTTAAATAAGGATTAGACAGGTCAAACACCATTGTAGTGCAAATAGTAAACGATAAAAAAAAAAACAACATTTACAAAATATAGAAATGTTTGGATCCAACAGATGGACAAACATATTCCTTTCAAGTATCTCTCCTTGAAGAAAATAAAAATTAATCAGGTTACTTCCAATACAAAAAAGTCTCTCATTTTGTTCTCTCTCAGGTAAACAGTTTCAAACCTATTAGGTTGCATAGTACTAAGTCATAAGCACCTTAACGAAATGTAACTTGGTATTCTTTGTTCCTTGATTTTGCTCTCTTCCCATTCTTGTTCTCAGATTTTTGTTTTGTTTTGTTTTTAGGTTGGTTTTTTGTTCTGTTCTGCTTTGTTGCAAAACTGGTACAGAAAAAGAAGTGTGACCACCTGCACACCATTGTTCCCTTACCAGTATGTGTGTGCATGTGCCGTGTGGAAATGCCTCCGTGTGTGTGTGTGTGTGTCTGTGTGTGTGTGCGTGTGCGCACGGGCTGATATACACAGAGAGAGGGTCACACAGACATACCTTACGACCTGGGTAACTGGGTGGGAAAGCGCCTGTAATTGGCTCTTTCAAACTCATGGCTTTCTAGATGCTATTTGGGTTGTGCCAGCCCACGTTATTGCAGACTAGACAAGTCGACTTCGAGGCTCACACTGAAAAGGGGACTGAAAAGGAGGGGACAATACTCCCGTGTAAGCGACTGATGTCATCACCTTGATATCAGAAGAAATGAAGGGGGTGCTGTTCTCCCTCTCCCTCCCAATTCCCGTCTTGTTCACTGCTTCATCTCTGAGCCCTGGCTAAGGAATCTTTCCACATCTTCCTTCATCTGTTTCAGGTTTTGTTTTTAGTTTATTTTTTTTTAATTTCTATTTTTTTTTTTTTTTTCTGCTTGTTTAACTCAGAAACCTTAAACATTTCTTCATTTTGCCACTGTCTTCTCTGGACAACTCTGGCTCCCGTCCCCCCTGGGCAGGGCGCTCTATGAGCACCCACACTCCTCCACTATCATGTTCTGAATGTCCTTCTTGATGATGTTCTGCCCATCATCATAGTACAGCATGGACATGGGTCTCAGCTTGGTGGGCACACAGCACGACTTGAGGTTGGCGAAGGGGCTGTGCCCCCGCATGCGGTAGTGGTTGATGACCGTCGAGTGAAAGGAGAGCGAGGACCCCGACGTGCCTGCTATGTGGCTTGGGCACTCACCCTCGCAGTAGTTGGCGTGATAGCCGGAGGGAGCGATGATCCAGTCATTCCAGCCAATGTCCTTGAAACTGACAAAGAACTGTTTCTTACAGCAGATGTTGACCTTGCCGTCGCACTCCAAGCCCCGCCGCCGCCGCCGATGGGGGTGGTCTTCAGACTGGCGGGCCTGCAGCATGAGGAAAGGTCTGTGGGACTGCTCCTTGTCCTCCTCTCCCCCTGCCCCTCCGTCTCCTCCGTCCTTCTTCTTCCCTTCCCCCTCCTCCTCCTTCTTCTTCTTCTTGCCCAGGAGCACCAGGCTGGCGCCCGTCTCGTGGCACTGCTCACAGGCAATCCGAACGTCCAGGGAGCTCTTGCCCTGGTCCAGCAACCGCTGGATGCTGCTGGACACCGGGAAGATGTGCCAGGTGCTCTTGCTCGCGTCCACCACCTTTTCCGATATCAACACTTCGTTCCTCTCCTTCGTGAAGCCCCTCTCCTCGGCCTCCTCCCCTGCGTCCACGTTGCCCTGGGGGTGCTTCTGCAAGAGCTGGATGGTGACTTTGGTCCTGGTCCTGTTGGCCTTGGGGACTTTGAGGAAGAGCCAGACTTCGGCCCGCTCCACCACCGACAGGTCACTGCCTTCTTTGGAAATCTCAAAGTGCAGCGTTTTCCTGGTGGTGCCTGCGGACGAAACACAGCACAAGAGAGAGAGCAGGGACACTCGTTAGTTGTGCCGGGGGTCACCACCCACTCGTTTCAGGCACACGGGCGCCTCTGCCGCGGGCCATCTGCAGCAGGGGTCACGAGTTACCGCCCGCGGGAGGGCAAGGCGGTGTGGACATTTTTAAATGGTCGAGGAAAAAGAGTATTTTTGTGAAAATTATAGGAAATTTACACTTCAGTGCCCATAAATGAAGTTTTATGGGACAACAGTTATGCTCATTTCTTTCTAGGTCATCTATGGCTGCTTTTGCATTAGATCATGGAGTTGGACAGCCACGACAGAGACAGGCCCACAAAGCTTAAAATGTTTGCTCTCTGGCCCTTTCCGGAGAAAATCTGTCCAGCTCCTGGCTCTAAAAAGAAGAGAGCCTAGATCTCAGTCAGTGTCTGGGAGCCTGGGGCGGGGGGCGGGGCGGCGGGGGCAGGTGTCTGCGTCTGTTCACTGCTTAACCTCAGTTTCATCTTCTATAAAATGGGAATGGCATAATGACATTGGACCCACTCGACCGCAGGCTTGGCCTAACCCGGATGAAAACCCCCTGTGAGCTCTAGCAAGTTGTGGAAGTGGCGCTATTCCCACAGAAATACACAGACACTCCCCTCCCCCATGTAAGTACGTGGGGTCAGTGCCCACTGAGCTAGCCTCCTCCTCCCTGGCCACGACCTGCCCCACCCCTCCATCCTTTCTTTCCTAGGTCGCTGCAACAGCCTTTTCTTGCATTTGGCTCTCCAGCATGGAGCCAGGCCCCTCTCCAATCATTGCTCTACTAAGCAGGTTTAAAACAGAAACGAGCCAGCCTCCACAGCTTCGCCTTCAACCCCAGCTCTCTCCCAGTGCCCCGTGCTCTGTGGTGCAGCCACATGGTGTTTGTTCGAGGTCAGGTGCATCCCATACACTCTCTCACCGCCAGGCGGTGACCCCTGCCGAGAATATTCCTGCTCCCAACACATCACCCTCAGTGGCTGCCCTTGATAAGGGTTCAGTTCCTGACCCCCTTGGCCCCCCCACCCCCGTCAGTCTGATTTTGGATGCCCCCAGTCTGAGATCCTATCTATCTCATTCACTGTCATGGCCCAGTGTTTACCAGGAACGAGGCAATCACATCTTTAGCATCCAGTGAAGTTACATTAAGCGACCCACTTCCCACTGCTGCGTCCCCCGTTTTTGCCTCCTTCCCTTCCGAATGCAGCTTAATGAGCCCCAATTACAGCGACTGCTACTAACGGAAAGGAAATCCCCACACTGGCGAGACAGTTGGCTTCAGAGACCATTCAGTTCTTGCCTAACTTAAACTGCTCCCTTCTCTTTTTCCATAAGCTCCTGTATGTCTACACACGCAGCAACGTTTACTGTAAGGAGCAGGTGTCCGGACTGGAATTCTCAGATTGAGGAAACATCTTCCCTCGGTGGCCCTTTCACCACTCGGTGGTCTATGAAACATGTCCTCTTTGCCCAACCGCCTCCTGCACGCGTGTACCCGCTTACGACTGTCCCGGTGTGCGCGCATCCCGTACACAAATCTGAGAACAATGTTAGGGAAGGTCATCTTAGAACTCGCAACTCCCTAGGAGGGTCTCCCTGCCTGGATTTCTATAGCGAACGGAAATCCAGCCATACTTATCACTCTCAGCCCTGAGATGTTTACGGTACTATAAATTTTCGGCACAGTTTCAAGTTCTCTGCAGCAGAAGGCAGGCTTTTCTGTGCATTGCACACTGTAGATTCTGTTCTTAATTTAACACACTCTGCACGCTGTGATTCTGATAGTGGTAAATTCACTGAGGCCAGGGCTAGGAAAGGCTACATATGTATACAAAAGATTCTCTGGCATCTTGGTATAAACTTGCTAGCACGCTGGGCTGGGCTCGGTGGTGGTGGTGGTGGTGGTGGTGGTGTGGGGGGTGGGGTGGGGTCCTTTTCCTCCAGCCTTGGGTCTCCAGCAGGAGTTAAAATGAATGATAAAGCTAGGTTTAGAATTAGATCACCAGAGTAGAGAGCAGTTAGAAGAAGGGGAGACTGTCTTTTTTTAGGGAGCATGATTTCTTTTCAAAACGTGAATGCAGTATTCCCCTTTGCTAAAACCTGGTGGGTTTTCTGTTGCTGGTTTTTTTTGGTGGGGGGGGGTGGTGGAGGTGGGAAGCAAAAGAGAAGATTCCAGGAAGGAGAGCTTAATGATCTAAATTTAAAAAGACACTCTGCAGCAGATCTGAAGCGGTAGGGTCCTTCCCGAAGCTACCAAGCCCCCCCCCCCCCCCCCCCCCCCGGGACGAGTGTGCAGGCGCCTCCTGCCCTGCCCCGGGGAGAATAGTAACAAGCTACCGGCTGTTCTCCCTTCTGCCTCTACGCAGGCCAGCTTCTGAAACCTTAAACCGTGCAGGGTGCCACTGTAAAGACAGAGAGATAGTAGCTGCTAAATTAGAGAAGCCAGAGGGCACAAGGTTGTGTTTTGTTTCTCTAGGAAAGTGTGTGAAACTGGAGAATCTGACTCGTCCTCAGGATGGGAAAGCTCTCTGGGTTTCAGGTAACTCATTCCCACAGGCTCCTCTCGGCTTTTACCCAGGCTTGGCAGGAGGGGCCGGGGTGAAGGCAGACGGTCCTCGGGTAAAGAGAGGGTCCGGAGGGCAGTGCGGACCAGCCCACGTCGGACTTTCCATGAAGAGAGTCCAGAGCAGTCTACAGATGCTGGGGGTGGGGGCGGGAGTCAGGGTGGGCTAACTGGCCGACATGACACAAGGAGCGAGAGACAGCACATGCAAATTGCTTTTGTAGGGCCAAGGGGGCTGAGGCCCCTTGCTTCCAGCAACAGCCTACAGGACAGCCCCTCATTCCACAAGAGCAGGTTTCTAAGGCATGATAAAGCCCCACCCTTCTTCACAGGCAGCTGTACTTGGAAGCAAATGATTTAGTGTTCCTGAGAGAGGATCGTACAAAGAGAGTACTCATTAGAGGGGGCTCAATCTGTCAGGTGCTGTTATATTAGGATCAGAGAGGCATCATAAAATGACTTTCAACCTGGTCCTGGCTGATAATTAACTGTATGGCATCGCTGGCGTATTGTGGAGAAGGCACAGCGCTGACTTATGCATCGGTTTAATTATCTGAGCTTGAAACACTCTTGTCCCTGTATTCGCATCCATTGCCTGCGTGCTGTATCTCTCCCCCATATTTCTGACATTTGGATTTTCCCCCTGCTAATTGACATGCTGTCGCCTCCTTCTCCTGGTGTCCATTTCTGGAACTGCTATTTGTATATTGCATGATATTTTATCAGGGGAAAAAAATAAAACAGATCCAATTTCATGAAAATGCTGTTGCCATAATGCTCAGGAGACCAGGGGGAAGAGAGAGATGCAAGTCTTCCTAATGTCTACCTTATATGCAGGTACATTTTAAAAGTTCTATTGTATTTGACTTATTAAGCAGTGCAATATTTTTTTTTCCTTTTACATTTAGCTTTCATTGCAGAAGGGGGTGGAGAGAATGAGACAGCTAGAAGCTGAGATGATTAATATTTATCAGAGCTGTAGGTTTCAGAAAGATATTACAACCCTCAAATTTCTTAGGCATGAAAAATAGAACGAGTCACTTGATTCTATTCCCTTTATCTGTATTTTACCTAAGAGAGATTGTTATACCGCAGCGATGCTGTGAGGATGCTCCAGCCTTCAAATCTCTGCGCATAACAATTTGAAAAATGGAAGGAGGTTGCCTGAAACTGAGGTGTTTAGGATCAATTACTAATCAGTTTCAGGTTAGACTTAACTAGCTCCTGCATCAAATCCTGAAATGGAAGCCTTCCCACAATGCTTTGTGAGCAGGTACAGTACTTTACACAGGTGTGCACTGGGTTCCTGCATTATTACCTATCTACCTAGATAGAGCTGTTGGCTTTGCTAACCTTTCATTACCTACTCTCTGATAATATTCTTTTCATCCTCTGTGCTATTTTTTCCCTCCCGAGGCTCGTGAGCAAGGCTTGTATCACAGCCTGCTCTGCCTGAGTAATTCACTAAGAAAGTCCCACGCAAGCCCATGTGGGTGATAATATTTCATCACTTAAACCTCTATGAGCCCGGTGGACACAAAATCAAGGGGAGAGAGAAAGATGCATAAAAATGAGTAGGAGGGATAAAAATGGCCCCTTACAGGGAAGACCTTTGAAACGTTGCCGGGCAGGGGGGGCTTGGAAAGAGGGAAGATCGGAAGCTGGAAGGAAGAATACCCCAAAGCACCTTTTTCCTTTGCTCTTAGAATTTTTCTAATTTTTTAATAACTCAATCACGAAAGCAGGCCTGCCAAGAGTTAAGCAACCAAGCCCCTTGCTGTTCCCATCCCCCACACCAGGACTCAAAATTCTGCTCTTCTTCAAGCCCTGCACCTCAGATCTGTGGGCGTATGAACATTTCCAACAAAATAAGCAACACACACACACACAAACACACACGCAGTGTTTCGTTTGTGTTCCGTTTTGTTTTCCTCACCAGGGTCCTGCCTAAAGCATGCCCTTGTACATACGGGTAATAATTATGTCTCTAATGTGAATGTGGAAGATCTTGTTGTTTATAGAGGATTTTTAACTCGCCATGGGGGAAAAGCCTTGTGGTAAAATGCGGCTGTTACTTGAATTTTCCATTCTGCACCCAGATTCCACTGTGCCTAGATTTGGTGCGGTCAATGGTAGGAGCATGCAGGGTGACCAGGTACGCAGGTGTGTTCTCTTCAGCACTAACTTTGCATTTGAACTGTTTCCGGGGGTTTCTGCAGAAGGCATCAGGTGAGATCTTAGAGGTTATGCCTCCCTTCACCTGCAGCCCAGGGTTTTGCCTGCAGCAGGGAGAACTACAAGTCTGGTCATAAATTATCTGGACTGATTTTGTTAGCCTTCATATTTTTTTTCTTAGGATCTGCTATTGAATTTTAAATGCTCGGCCACATTCGGGTGTCTTCCATGTCAATGATGGTGAAATCGAGAGAGAGAGAGAGAGAGAGAGAGAGATCAAGGATTTAGTTTCCGAAAAGAAGTAGAAAAAATTCTTAAGATTCAACCCACAGAAATTTCAGAGACTTCTTCCAAAGTTCCTGAGAACTTTTGCACTTTTGATTTTGGATCTAGGAACCAGTGGAGTATGAGGAATTCTGATCTACAGCTCATGCTCGAGTATATTGTAGCCGAAGAGGGGCCAAGACAAATACGTGTTTTCCCTAAAAGTGCCTGGGAAGGTATGACTCCCAGTTCTCCAAATTCGAAAGCAGACTTTCTGCCCTCTGAGGGCCCCCCCACCCCAACTCTGACCCACCTACATCACAGGCCCAAACCACCAGGCATCTCGCTCCTTGTCTCTCCTCCCCCATTTGGCTCCACACTCAGCTCGGAGACAAACGCATGCTCCGAAGCTGTACCCAATTTTTCACAAGGCGGCCAGCAAACGGCCCTTTCCTCCCTGTTGGAAGTCACTTGTCATTTGTCGCTGGTGAAAAGCATTGATAAGACAGGCAAACCAGGCAACGAAATGAGGGGAGATGGAAGGCATTTTGGTAAAAGCCAGGCAGCCAGCCGTCTTAGGGAGAGATGTGTGAGCAGATCAGTGCTGCTGATGATTCATGGTCACATTTCTCCACGCTCTGCTTTGTTTGCTTCTGAAATTTATCATTCCTCTGTCTTCCATAGAGCTCCGGAATGTACACATGTATCACTAGAATCCCCATTTCCTTTCCTCTGTCACATTTACTGTGTCACAGGTAGTCATGTTTCTCCCATCCCATAAAATCCTAACTTTTTCTGGAGGATAAGAGGAAGCAGGGGGCAACTGATAAGCACCAAGATTTGGGCGCTACAGAATGGGGCTTCCAGGAGCTGAAAATGCCTTTCCCTAGATTAACCGCTAAGGAGCAAAAGTCTTTGGAATGCGCCCTCTTGTGGCCGACCGCTTCGCGTTATTCAGAGAAGAAAGTGTGTAACCCCTAAAAGCACCCTTCAGTGAGGGGAAATTGGCAGGAAAGTTCCTTGGGCTGGCATGGAATCTGTGGGAGTCACCTCCACCTTGAGATGGCTTTCTTGGGCTGTGGGGAAAACAGTCATCCAAGCAAGCCTTCTTAGACCCCTGCTTGGGAAGTCTATATCTCTAATTCAACTCTTCTGTAACCGGAATCCTCCAAGAGGGGGAGATTTATGTGTTACTTTCAACAAGACCTGGGCTTTAGTGAGCAATTTCCCATTTCCTGGAGCTTCATTTGTCTTTCTGCCCCCATCTGTTCTTCCACAAGTGCTATCGATTGCTAAGTTGATGACGATAATCAGCATATACATCTGGCTGCATATGAAGACTCAGTGAATATGCTGTTATTGTACACTGACCAGATATTGTCATGGATCACAGCAAGATAAAATAAGATAGAACCATCAAGAGGAACGCTGGTTGCAGCTCCACTGACAATTACAGAGACCTGACTTGACCCTCCCCATCCAGCCCTTCTTTTCCTTTAAGGTCTTAAGGTAGCATTCTGTACCAGCTGTCCGGCTGTAATCTTGGTGAGCAATCTTGGGTGACATGCGTTAAAAAGCATAATTTTTATTTGTTGGGAGAAGTTTCAGAAGGCCCGAGCGCTATTCCTCACCACTTAGTTAATAACAACTCGTATCAGCTTTACAAAGATGGGGCACCTTCCGCCTGAGCCCAAATGGGACAAACTCAGTTCTGAGAGTTCTAGACACTTGAACTTTTTATAGTCCCTCAGCTGCTGGGCCACAGCATGGGCTTTATTTAACCGTCAAGAAGGGTCGAGGCAAAAATTAAACATGAATCCCCCCAACTGGGGAATCCTAAGTTTGAAAGATGCATCTATGGGGATGCATCTGTGGCATGGCACTCGGTGACAGTGACTCACTGGATTCCATGTGGTACAAAATAGTTTGGGGAGGAAAGAAAGATGAATACCCTCCGCTCTTCTCCAAATTCTTACATTTGACATAGTTTGAATATTATTAAGGCTGGGTTATTCCAAAAGCAACAAGACATTTTTGTATATTCAGAGGATAAAGCTCTTTCCTGGTTGGCAAAATCAGCTACAAAATACTCATCTGGTACTCCACTTGGAGAGTAGATTGTCCAGATAGCAATCATTAATTCCGCGGAATCATAGTAAATCAACTCAAAGTTGAAGTGTGAAACTTCTCAGAGGAGAAAAATAAGTAAGCGTGTCATAAACCTTTTCTGTGACTCCAGCAGCTCACCCAAAGTCAAGTTGTAAACTCAACCAGGAGGAGTTTTCCATTACAAACCTTAAACTGGAGTCAACGTGTGAGTCAAATGAATCACCTTTTAAAAAAGTCACTCAATTTCTTTTAAACTAAACACCTAACGGAAAAGTTAAAAAAAAAATGACAAGATTTCATATAAATGAGAAAAAGACGGCCACTAAGATGAAGGCCATAAGTAAGAAAGAATGTGAAAGGTCAAATTCTTTCACTGCAAAACCTCTCGATGCCAAGAGCGTGATTTGCTAGACAAGTCAGCTAGGTCAGGAAGAGAGGCTGTTGCTTGCATCAGGTGTATATTAAAAGTGGTCACAGACATAGGTATACTTAGTCATCGGACGCGGGTAAGGCCAATTGAGTAGGACCTGCAATTAAAGCCATCATGTGTGGTAACTGGTATATAAAAACCTATACAGGGTCCCTTTGTCTGCACAGGGAGCAGACAGACCTCTAGACCACCGGAACCCACTCGCCTCCCCTGGACTCAATGTTAGTAAGCACTTTCTTTCCTACGTTGCCATCAGGAAAGGCGAGTGGCAAGGTGAAACCGCCAACCTGACTGTTTGCTCAAGAAGCTTCAAAAGATAAAGTCATAATGATCATGTCCTTTGGGGCCTGCGTCAAGAAAGAGCTTAGAGGAAGAAAGACCTTCTTTGAAAAGAAGCTTCTGGTGAGAGAGAGAGAGAGGGAGACACTGTCCGGCCGGCAGGCTTGTAGGACATCAGGGCTTCTCTCACCAGGGAAGCCAGGAAGCCAGCAGGCTATCTGCTCCCCCAAAAGGATGCCCAGGTCTGGCATGGTTTTCTTGAAAACAGAACATCTGAGTCAACAGGTTTTCAGGATTGGAAATTCTGAGTGTTGCCTTAATTGTTTATACTGCTGCAGCAAACTTTTAAACAGAAATGCTGGGAGTCCCTGCACGTACTTCACTGGCCATATGCTCCACCAAACAAAACAATGGCATTCCTTTCAAATGGATCTGGCAAGGGATACAATTCTTTAGGCTGGCATTACCATGAAAGTAACAGGGCATTAACACATCTGTGTGCCGGGGGCGTGCATGGGCTTGCAGCATGCGAAGGGTCTGTGTCCCATAACCGTAAAAATAACCTGGCTCCGGGTCTACGGCCACACTCCTGGCAGGTATTTTTCTATTCAGCAACAGGTTAGTGTGGTCCTGAGCCAATGATTAGAATCTATTAAAGTTCTTCCTCTTAAGGATTGAGTGAGAGTTCAGTGTAGTATCTGAGAGCACTTTGTCAAGGTTGCATTCCTTGGCAGAGAGCTCTTAGTAACTTTGCAGAGAACAAAACTCTTTTTTTTTTTTTTTTTTTTTTGAGAGAGCAAAAGTCAGTGTTCCAAAAGTGACTGCTGGTTCAATGTCAACTGTCCCCCAAAGTACCTCTTTACTGCCTAGAATGTGATGCCTGTGCTCTTAGAAGACAGAGTTTCTGAAGGTAAAAAGGACTGTCACTAATAAGTATGCCCTGCTTCTCTGGTGTGGCCCCTGACTGGACTTTTAAAGGGAAGGTTTGTTTTAAGACAATGACTTCATCTGTGCCGGTCCACCCCGACCCCACACTCCGCGCCTCCCCCCCATAAAAACTTTGGATGGGGGGGTCCGGAAGCCTCCTGGGCTCCCCCAGTACCCGAAAATGCCCGGGCTTTCCTCGGGGCTGCTGGGATCTGGTTTCAGAGGCAGGGCGAGGGAGCCCCTCACAGCCCGGCTTCCAGCTCCAGATTGGCCCGTGGAGCTTCCTCCGGGGTGACCGGCTGAGTTCGGCAAGTGTGAGCGAGCCTTCTCCAGCCAGGGCTCAACCTAGAATTCCGTTTCTGTGAAGTCCTCTCCCCCCGCCTCCCCTCCGGCCACCACCAGTGCCCAATACCGAATGACCTCCACCGCCCCCCGCCCCCGGCGGCGCCCCGCGGCTGGGGGCTAGAAGTTCGTCCCCAGACGGTCAGGTCAGAGCCACGCAGCCCCCACCCCCGATGCCCCGCACCGACCTGCTTCTGCGAACGTGATGATCTCCGAGGTCTGCTCCATGAGTTCATTCATTTCTGCCCTCCTGCCGATATCATCCTCTATCTCTACGTACCCGTTCTCCCCCACTTTGCCCACATGAAGCTTTCGGATAGCGTTCAGAAGCGCCGCCTTGGGCACCGGCTGGGTGACTTCGGGTCTCTTCTTCAAGTGCAGCATGTTTAAAATGTGCTTCTTGACGGCCTCCACCATCTCCGGCTGAGAGTTGGGTACATCCTTTGGGAGGGTGGCCAGCGCACAGGACGGGCAGTCGGGGGCTGCGCCGGGCCCCTCGGATCCTGGGGTGGGGGAACTCCTCACTATAATCCAGCAACTCGCCAACAGAAATCCTCTCAGCCAAAGCAAGGGCATCCTGGCAGCAAAAGTTGTTGTGATTGCCTTTTTTTTAAAGGCCCTGCTTTTCCTCCCCCCTCACGCACAGGTTTTTTTGGTTTTTTTTTTTTTTTTCCTTTCTTGGTTTTTTTTTTTTTTTTTTTTTCCTTCTCCTCTTCAGCAAATTCTCTGGAACAAGAACAAAAAGTTTTCTGTGAAGTTTTGTTTGCAGGTTCCCTCTCTGAAGGCAGTCAGTGCTGTAGGTTTGTGGTTGTCAGGGAGGAGAGTTCTGACTGTCTCCGAGTAAGAGAGAAGGAGGGAGGGAGGGAGGGAGGGAGGGAGAGACAGGGTGGGGGGGGAGACAGACAGAGACAGAGAGAGGATGGGAGGGAGAGAGACAGGGAGAAAGGGAGAGAGAGGAGAGAAGGGGGAGAGGGAGAGAGAGGGAGGGAGGGAGGGAGGGAGAGACAGGGAGAGAGAGACAGGGAGAGAGAGGGGGAGAGAGGGAGAGAGAGAGAGAGAGAGGGAGAGAGAGAGAGGAGAGAGAGAACGATTGGTCCTAAGTGAGTGCGTGAATGGGCGAGGGAGGGAGTTTGTCTGTGAGTAGAGGCTGTGATTAGGAAGGGGAGGGACAGCCCGTTTTCTGACAGGCTGCTTTCCTTCTGCTCACTGTTCCCTCACACACACCTCTCTTCAGATATCACCATTCTCGGGAGTTCTACTTTCCCTTCTGAAAGAAATCCTCCTAATTTTGTTCTACTTCCCCTTTTTTTCTCTCTCTCTCTGTCTCTGCCCAGTCTCCTTGCTTCACCTTCTTCCTCTTTTGGAGGGGAGAGAAAACCCCACTGGGAGGCACTGTCCCAATCTCCTGGGATGACTAAGTTGAAACGGTCTGCCCCCAGGGCCCTCCACCCCTACGTGGCCGCAGCTCTAGGTGACCCCCGCCCGGCCTCGGGAGGCGGGGCTTCTGGGAGGTGGGCGGACAGGTAGTGGGGGGCGGGGGTCGGGGCAGAGTGGCCGGGAGCCGCCGGGGCCGGTCAGCGGGGCCGGGCCACAGGGAGTCCCGGAGGTTGCTGGCTTCCCATTCATTCATATTTAAATGTTCAGGGTCACACGCTCTGGCAGGGGATCTGAGGGGAACGGAGTAGAACTTCTCTTCGGGGTCATCTCAGACACTCTACTTTTCCCAACTGCAAAATGCAGTCGGGCACTGAAGGATGCACGGGCAGTATTCTACCTGCTCCTGTCACCTGAAACTCTCTCCCTTCTCCCTAGCCGCCGCCCCCTCTGCCCCGCACGCGCGCGCGCACACACACACTCACACTCCCAGACTCACAAATTACAGCCTACCACCTCCTGCCCCGACTTCACAGATAAAGTGCAAAGTTCATTTGGCCTTTCCCACAACATTTCCTACAAACAGTGTGCCCCTATAGGGCTTGGATAACTGGTCCCAGGGGAAAAGAATCTCTAAAATATATTGGCCAATGATTTCCTCTGCCATGTGAGAGTTTTTCAGCCTGCCCCCTACCCTGTCCTGGACCAAAGGGTTCCTGGACTGGCCCCTTGATGAATCCTTTTTCCCCTCAAAGGAAAAGCACAGATGAAATCATCACGGATTTCAATGTTCACAGAAAAAGAAAAATGTGAATTTTTAAACAATGCCTCTCTGAGTTTTTTTTATTCTCCCCCCCCCACCCTTTTTTCATTTTCTGTCTTATTGCTTTTATCATGCAGAAGTATCTTTAAGAGGTCCATCTGTTAAAGCTTTCCTTCTCTCTCGGTTTCTTTCCCACACATAAGCCCTCAGTTTCTGTAGATGCAGTCAGCTTATATCTGACACCTAGTGTGCTCAGAGTATTATAGTTAAGCAATGCGCTCTGGGTGGAAAAAGTTAATAAGTATCATTCCCACAAGCCTAGGATCTGAGGGCAAGGGGAGGAGGGCGAAGAAATTGTGGCATTAAGGTAAAATTACAGTTTGCACAGATAACAATTCTTCTCTGAATCTGACACACTGTCCCCCTTTTCCAAAACAATTACTTGCAAGACTTTGTCTGTTCCAAGCCATCTATCACAGTTTGGGATTTCTCCTCCAGGAACATCAATTACTCTGCTCTTCTTCTTACGACTTGGTGGACATTCCCTAAAGAGTCTAATTTTTTTTTTTTTTTTGGAGGGGATGGTGAAAGAGAATGGGGAGGGGGCATCTGCATTATAACCCGTTAATAAAACATCTTCGAAATCCAAAACTTAACATAATCTACCGTATTTGGCGTCACATACACAGTACCCAAAGCATGTTGTAGTCCAGTTAAATTTTACAAGAGAGTCTGAAATAAAACTCAAAGTTTAATGACTCCAAACAACTCAGAGAGTCTTAATAGCCAAATGTAGATAAGGGCAGCTTATCAATATTTGGATCCCCTCTGTCTGTGAGTGTGTGTGCGTTCCCTGAATTTACTGTTGGTGAATGTAGCTCTTAAAAACAGCTTTCTCTGTGGCATATGTACTTGTATATAAGTGCTGAGTGGGCTGTATACACATGCCATCTATTTGCATGCTCTACTATTAAAAGCTTCATTAACCTGCCTGAATCATATCCAAAGGTACAAATCAACAACGTGCATGGAAATGCAGTAAGTAAATTCCTTCTAACCTTTCTGAAGCTGCATGTGTCAAGACCTCCTAAGTAAGAGTTAAAAAGCATTACCTTTCCGGTCCTCTCTCTTTCACCAGCAGACTCTTGTATCATGTGGTAAGAGCTGTCTGAAGAGTTCCTCTTCATGGTATTGGCACTCTGAAGTTTTATACTGTACTACTACTTTGCACACTCACACATTGGTACCACTCAAACAGAGGAGGGCTGGGGCTTTGTTTGGGATTGGTTAGAATCAGCATGACATCAGCAGATGACTGGTTTTTCCAGTGTGAGACATATTTCATAATTCATTATCTAATGGAAAGCCTTTCTTGGCTGCTGGGATACTACTTGGTGATCACTGAGCCAGTTAAACCTCTGACCGACTAGACTACCTTTTAGAAAAACACTGGCATTGAACAGTTATAGCTCACTGAGTGTCCAGCTTCCAACTTTTACTGCTCGAGCACACACTTCTCATTATATTCAGGTTCGGTTTTATGTCTTCACATAAAACATCTGTTACTTCACGAAGTTGCCTCTATTTACAAAGTATTTTATTGTTTCTTACAGGGAAGAAAATTTGCAGTGCTCTTTATAGGGATTCTGATTTTACTTTCTAAAATAAGATCCTTCACTGAGGACAAAATAGGAAAATACGTATACCTATAGGATGATGGTCTGCCCTCCCCCGACTTACACTGTTATTTTACATCTTGAAATTGAATGTCTGCTTCATAAATCATGTATCACCAAGAAGTTTGAAAATACTCATTCTCTGCTAGTGAACTTTATAAATATCCTCCCCAAGCCTTTAGAATCACAATCCAACTAGCAGAGAAAGAAAGCAAGCTCACACATCATTCTTTTTTATCAGAACTTCAAGTCCTATGATTTCTAAATTGTTACAAATATAACATGAGATTAATGAAAAGAAATGAACATTCTTTGGAATAGGGGTTAAGATGACTAGAGTTTTTGTTGGGGGAGAGGGTGGCTAGCAAGGCTGAGAAATAACACAGTTGGAAGGAATCTTCAGAGAAGCATAGTGGGGAAGGGTTGTTTGAAGGAGTATAGCTGAAGCCTAAGCCGGGTACTCATGACAAGTTGAATAAAATGTGCAAAATTGGGAGCTAATGAAAGCCATATGACCAGATATGTTGTTTTGTATGCAGGATTTAACATGCATAAAATAAACTTTTCACTGTGCCCACAAGCAAAATATAGAGGCTCTGGCCTCCTGATGTGTAGTTTAAGGAGGTTCCTTTAGGACACCAGAAGTTTGCTGTGTAGGAGGGTCTGCCTTGGCTAAACACAGAGAGAGTGTGGATGGTGAGCTGTACATTGGGGTGGGGGGGGGGTATTCTAAGAACTGCATAAGCAGAAATAAAGTAAGAAATTAAATCATTAGGCTGTAGAGGAACAGAGGGAGTCTGGGAAGGAAAGACAGAAACAAGATCGGTGCTGGTTAACTCCAAAACTGCCTGCCCATCAGTTTGGAATCAGAGGGAGGGACTCAAACCCTATGTAAGAAAGGAACTTCACCAGCCTTTTTGATGAGCACTCCTGGACAGCCCTGGCCTGCAGGGCCTCTGAACCCACCCCTCTCCCAGGCATGAGCCCCGGTGTCCTGGAAATACCATCGTGTTTATGACTTTGGGGGCACAAAACAAACCCAGATCAGACCCTGGTTCCACTGCTCACTAACCATATAATCTCGGACCTCCGTGTCCTGGTCTATAAAGTGGGAAGGGCAATACTCAACTGCAGGGTCAAAGGCGTGCTCAGAAAATAATAGGTGATATTCTTTGTGAGCTGCCTGGTGGCTCCTTGTCCACATTTGTGTCCCAGAAATTTGCAGAGCCCCGACTGGAGGCGCAACCCTCTACGTGTGTGACTCAGATGGAGTTGGCCACCGGATGCCACTGAGGTGCCCACCTACCAGGTCAGCCCACCAGCAGTGATGTCAGTCTCTACCTGAATCCCCAGCCTCAGGGCTGAGCCACACTGGAAATGCCTCCTCAGTCAGTGGAAATTAAGGTGGGGGTGGTAGAGGAAGCAGGCAGGTTAAAATAACTTCTGTCGAACGTCGTGGACTGGGAATGATCTCTTCCCTTCCGAACTCAAGGGCGCAGGGGTAAGCTGGTCAGCCCAACTCCTGGCCAGCCTCTACTTCTCCTGCCTCGGTTTGGTTTCTCTTTCACTTCCGGCCCCCTCCCCCAGCAGCGCCCCACGCCCGGCCCTGCGGTCCCGCTGCTCGGCCTGCTACTGTACCTTGAGCAACACCTGCTGGCAGCTCCCGGGGATCACGCCGGATCGCGGCCGCGGCTCGAGCCCGGCTCGCGGTGCTGCAGTCCGGGCCAAGCCGCTCCGAGCGGCCGCCTCTATTTTTACCCCGAGCACCAGCAAGGGCAACTTCTTTTAAGAGCAGCTCTTGATTTTTCCCCCCTTTTGGCAGCTAAAGAATTCAGAGAGGGGGAGAGAAAAAAATCACTATTCAGTGAGTGCCGCTGGGAGTCTCTGAGCCCAGCGCTCGGTGCCAGGGTCGAAAGCACGGCCAGTGTCGGGGGCCGGGACGCGGACCCGCGGGGCCGGCCCCAGCGCGGACAGAGGCGCGCCAGGAGCGCTCACGCCCCACGAGCTGTCCCCTTGCCGAGTGTGGAGTTGGGTCCTGCCCGCTCCTGCGCTAGCACAGTGGCCCGCTGCCACCGCGTTTTTCACCTAGCGCAGGCGGCCTGATTTACTGGCGACTTCACAAAGCTCCCAACTACTCGCTGGAGCGTTTGCAGGGCTCTGTTCTCGCCTCGAGGAGCAGCCCCTGGAGAACCCGGTGGAGCAGCTTGCTGCGAGAAGGAGCCGGGAGGGAAACTGTGGTACCTTATTTTACTGTAATTGCAAAAGGCACGATGTGCCAGAGATTTATATTTAGACGTTGTATGTTTCTACTTTTATGTAAATGGAGCAATTAGGGCCTGTCTTACTGCTGCGAACTCCAGGGCTTGCGCCTTGCTGGGGAGCTGGTGTTTTCAATCACAATTAGTGAGCTGGTCAAAAAACAAAGTTCATTTAAGGATAAGAGCTCAGGGGTGGGAAGGGAGGAGAGACCAGCGTCGCCGTGCCTCCCTGTGGCCTGTGGTGACACACACCTTAAGGCTCGGCTGACTTATAGCGGTGTTTACCCGTGGCAGCAGCTGTCCCCGTACAAAGTTGGCATAGATCAAGAGGCAAGAATGTTCATTTTTCTTCTCAGGCAAACCGTATGTCCTTCGGCTTTCATCCATGCTATTAATTGGTCTCTTCGCTCACTACGCTCACTACTCCTGGAACAAGGAGACAGGCCTAGAAAAGGGGGCCGTTTTTCATGGCCCTCTTATTTTCGCTGAGGCTCACGCATTGCTGTTATGCAGTGAAAAATACAGGCCAGGGGACGTGAACGCCCCAAGCAGGTGACCGGCAAGTTGTCGGTCGCCTGATTCAGCTGAAATGGCACGAGGCTGGGGTTTCGGAGCACGGACTCTGCTGCTGACGACTCAGGGTGTTTTAGTTCCTTCCTATGAAAAATCTGTTTCCAAAAAAGCATGATTTCTGGTTCATCCCGTCTGGGAAAGGGAACATAAAACGTGACTACGGAGAGAAATCAAAAGGACTCGAGGTGTTCTCAGCAGCTGCCGTGTTATTCTGGGCTCAAGGCAGGAAAGCCTTGCCTCCGTGGGGAGCGGTGACTCCCTCGAGAGGCAGCTCAGAATCCAGAAAACGTGGGCAGGATCCAGAGTGATATTTGCTGCAGTGAGATCAGGAGTCTCATCAAATGGTTGAGATGGGTTACAGGATTGGCAAGCCCTGCCTGTTTTCTGGCCAGCCAGAGCGTGCCCATGGCCTGGGCCGCAGGTAGGTTAGCTAGAGAGATTGGCGACAAAGAAGGATCAGCATTCCCCATTCACAGTTGAACTCGGACGCTGTTTGCTTTTAAGTTAAATCAAATAGCCAACACAGCCAAACAGAGAGGGAGAGGGAAACATTAAAATTCCTCCAAAACTCATTAGAAACAACAGGGTCAGAAATAGTTAATCCAAAACCCAATTCCTAAACCTCACGTTTCTCTGAGAACCACCAGAATATCCCACAAAGCCTTGTGCTGGGTATAGCTGCTCTGTTTTTAGAGTATTTGGAAATGCCTTATCTAAACCGAGGGAACCCTGATGCTACAACTAAAATGATTAGGGAAATAAAAGAAGAAGGAAAAAAAAAAATAAAACAAAACAGTAAACTGTTATCCTTCAGTCTACGGCAGTGATTCTCAACTGGGATGATTTTCCTCCCCAGGAGATATTTGGCAATGTTTGAACACATTTTTGCCTGACGTAACTGGGAAGGAAAGTTCTACTGGCATCTAGTGGGTAGAGACCAGGGATGCTGCTCAACATCCTGCAATGCAGAGATCAGCCCCCAATAACGGAGCAGTTACCTGGCCCCAAATGGTAATTGTTCTGCAAGTAAGAAACCCTGATCCAGAGTTATAATTTTCCATTTTCACCTAATTCCCTTCCTACGCATGCTCTAAGGGGCCTTGGCAACTATGCAAAATCTTAATAATTTCAGTGATTTTGCCTCCTCGTGTGTCTTGTGCTTCCCGATTAATGGAGGCCCGCACCCCACAGAGATACTGACACAGAAAGAGTACCTCTGGGGCAACATTGTTGCCACCCCAACTAACGGTCCAGCGTGGCCTCTAGACATTTCCTGCTGGCTTTGTGTTCGAACCAAAAGCAGAACCTCGGTGACCAGCAGCGAAATGAGATGAGCTGGCCCACGCCCAACCTGTTAAGAGGCAAGAGACTCCTGGAGAAGAGTTAAGTGAATGAAGAATGAGTTGTTCATTTTAGCAATTCAGTATCAGATAAATCCACGCAATAGAGAATTCCCTGAAGTAAAATTCACACAAGTGAGATTGCTGTGCCTTTCTCCCTAAGCAAACAAATATGATGGAGCTTGGTTTTATTTGTTTAATACCTTAGGGGAATGACACACAGTCAATATCCAAAGAGATAAAACAGAATGCTTTCCTAAATCCTAGCTCATGTTCCAAGCAAGCTTATATTCTCCGAACTTCCCTTTCAAAAGGAAGTGGTATTGACTATTTAAGGAAGGCCATGCATGACCCTTCAGGTGGAGCTTTCCTTAGGCCAGGGGGGAATGGGGTGCAGGATCCCACGTCTCAGAAAATCATCATCATCATCATCATCATCATCATCATCATCATCATCATCATCAACAACAAATGTTGCTGAGACCCACAAGAGGGAACTTGCCCAGATCAAACTTGCTTAGAAGTGAAATGCTCTTCTTCACATGATGAGGCCAACTTCCCTGGCTCATGTCTTAGTCCCGGAGCAACTGGGATTGTCCAGAATGGAAAGGGTTTTAAGATGAAGAGACACCCTTGAGTGGAATATCTTAGACACCCCCATGCCATTTCATCAACTCCAACATGTGAATCACAGTCTCCTCAGGTAGACGGTT